TATAAATTATTTATCATTATAGATCCTAACTGTATATATAATTTATAGGGATAAATCACTTTAAAGCATTGTAATGTCCACTCAAATATCAAAACCTGTAAAACCTCTGTCAACCGGAAACCACTGGAAACAGCCTGGAGTGTTCAGATTAGCAGGTGTTCACATCTCATGTTTTTAACGTGGTATTCAATGGGAAAATAAAAATTAGGACACAGAAAGTGTTCACAGTGAGAGGTGTTTGGATTAAATAGGTGTTCGGATATTCAGGTTTTACTGTATATAAAAGTAAAAATATGAATACAAGGCGACACGATGGCTATTATCACGTTACCACTTCTCCTTCATTCTGATTTTATGGAATCCCTCTTTATCTAAAGCTAAAGAGAGAGTGGAGGACGTGGAACATATAATGCTTCTTGATGGGGACATAAAAACGGCTTCACGAGAGCCACTGGCGTAATTTTGCAACAATTTATGCCACTCTTAGGTGGTATATGCAAATTGATTGATTTCCTAACAAAATTTCCATAATTTTTATTTTATGTTCTCTGGCTTTAATGGAATATTATATCATTTGAATTTGTATTGAACACTTAGGGATCATATCAAACATTATATAGGGGGGTCATATCAAGCTTTGAAATGATGCTAGCTCTGAAAACTGAAATCTTAGAAATGAAATGATTTCTACATCTATAAAACTGCATTAACATGTATATGTATAGTGCCTCTTAGGTACATGTAATATTAGAGAGTTTAAGCTTGCAATGTTTTTCACAAATGTGAACGGAAACTATTTCAGCGATGCATTTGTGTGGGCACTTGGTCATACATTTAGGTTGGCGTTTCGATTTTATATGCAAGCTTAAACTCCCTAATAAATCAAGATTGGTACTTGTAATATTTATCATATATTGGCTACTTGTAAATGTACTGGGAAGAGATTCACAGCTCTATGCTTGCTCACGATTTTAATATGGGAATAAAACACAAATCGATGTGTCACCCACTCATTATTATATTATATGAACTTGATGAAATAAACAAATTGAAATGAATTGAATTGAATTAATTACTATGTGTTGCCTGATATTGTTACATTTTGTTTAATCAGTCTCTCAATATGACATCAAGGAAACAATACATGACATCAATAATTCACGTGCCATAATCAATAATTTACGATATTGCAATCTTTTACTGACACTTCTTAACCTTTAAGCAAAAAGGGTTCATGTTTTTAAATGAGCAAGTGGGTGATTAAGAACAGAACTGGCAAGAAATAGTTATCACAGGCTCTAACCAAACCAATCAACCATGAGTATTTCAGTTAAATTGACCATCAAAGATGTAATAACAGTGGATTGATTTGGTGGCATATTTACTTAAATAACAAGGCCAAGGTAGGAACCTTCCCTTCAAAAACCCCTATGGACCACTTAGTCGAACGAACACCCTGAATTTCCCAAGCCTGAAACATGGCGCCACTGCTTCAGTACCCAAAAAATCAGGATTTAGAACATTAGTAGATGAAGTTTTCTTTTACAGGACAAACAAACATGGAATGGGTAATTCTGATTGACTAAGGATTATCTGCAACTAAAAGAGTACAGATGAAGGTCTCTTTTTAGAAGCAAAACCAAGATTTTTAGGAAAGGACACTATATTTGCAAGAGGCTAATAGTGGAAGAATGTCTTCCCACTGAGCTGTATCAAAAACAGGCCCATAGCCAGGGAAGGTTCCGGGCTAAAAATTCTTTCAAAATCACGTAGATATTGTAATTTTTAGCACCAAAATTGTCAAATTTGAACACCCCTTGAATTTTTTTAAAAAACCCTCGGCAAAAGTTGGCTAAGAGCCTGAACAAAATACACCATGCTCCTTCTTGAGGATCTAGGTATACATTACCCACCTTCTAATTTGAGAGCTGAACTGTTTTGATTTATATGACATTGTTTGAATTAAGAAAGCACAAAGACTATGATTTCAATGTGACATTTAAACCCTGTAATTACAGCATCATACTTTCCGCAATTACATTAAAGATAAATCCCTGAAAGATTCCAGAACCAATGACTTCTTCCTTACCACGTCTCTTCAACTCCATTTCAATCTAAACATATTTTAGCATTTCTACATTGTTTGGAAAGTTAACTTCATGCTTATCTACTTTATTGCTTGCTGAATCTCCCATTTTCCTTGCTACATTGTGTTTCAAAACAGGACCCCATGTGGGAATTTTTTCCGAGATTCAACCTACAACTGTTGTAATTTCCTATGAGTAATAGTAAATCATCATAAAGTGTTTAAATAATGAAAGCTGTAGAAATAGAATGTTAAGCCACTATCTTTATTAGAATCATAAATAAATCTTGCTTTTCTGTGATTAATACAGTTAGCTACCCAGGGGATAGAATCTATAGACACCCTGGGAGGTACCCTTTCCAATACAGTACAACCTGTTTAATAATATGAACGCCTCTTGGATGAGCGAAAGGTGTTCAGATTAACAGATGTTCACATTTCAAGTTTTTTTTTTTTTTAATAATAATAATATATATTTCAGGTTTTTAGTCAATTTTTACAATAACATAAAGTTTTTATGGAAAAATAATGAAAATGCAATGACACTTAAAATAAGTGTATTAAATTACACAATAGTTTTTTATTCCTTTTTTATTCATAGAAAACATTATAAATGTTTATTGGAAATAGAAAAGGTACAAAAGAAAAAGAAAAGGGGAGTCATTTGTAGGGAAAGTATGCAATTATGGGTATTTAGGTTCAATGTGACTAATCTCTATTACAATCATCTATGTTAGTCAATGATGCAGTTTAACCCCTGGTTGGCCCAAGCTTCATGAACATGGAAGTCAATTGATGATGATATTTATGGAACTGAGAGCAAAAGTGTTATTACTGAGAAGTGTTCCGATTTGAGAGGTGTTCAGATATGTAGGTTTTACTGTAGTTTGATTTTGCTTCATAAAAGAGAATTTCATCTATACTCTGAGACAGAGATAATCCTTTGCTCTAGTCTTAACCAATCACAACTCTGAGGATATGGTTGATCAAAATCAAGAAGAACCAACAATTCTTTCAATATATTCTATCGTATTCAGGGATTCCCCATTACGTCATCTCCCGCATCATCTCCAATCAAATTGCACAATGTGATCACGTGAAGAATCATGAGCTTGCGCATGCGCAAAGTTAAATCTTTGGGCAATCCCCCCCCCCGATCGAAATCCAGCTACCAAATCAAAATTGCATTCACTGAATTTTGCTTTCCTAAGTACAGTAAAACCTGTGTATATTAGACATTATTTTGCCCAGAAAAATGTTCAGTGTTGGTAGGCATTCATTACAGAGGGTAATTTATACATTTATATCAATAGAGTATGTGAGGAGGAAAGGGTGTCTGCTAGAGACAGGTGTTCACTAGAGAGAGGTGTTCACTAAGACAAGTTTGACTGTACCTGGTATTCATTTCATAATTGAAAGTCACATTATAGGGCCATGATGGCTCCTTTTGAGCTCATTAAGACAGTTTCAAAACTATGCATAACGTCTCTTATTCAGAGTCTAGTAATGGAGACTCCAATACTCATGGTACCAAGGGTGGAAATCAAAGCAGTGAGAACATCAATGATTCAAAATATAAGAGTATTTTAACATACTTTAACATTTGAGCATCTAATAACATGCAATACTGCCATATATTAAAATTAGCTTATGTTTTAACCTGCAATTATGAGTTATAAGTTAAAGTTTGTGATATTGAATATTATCATGCAACTTAAAGAAATCCTGAATTTTAATTGGCTAAGAGCTCCCTTGGAATTTACGTGGTATGACAAACCTTAACTAAGTTGATACATTCTGCCCCCCCCCCCATCCTCTTTATTCAAACAAAGCACACAGGGAGCAATACCATATTTAAAAATCAAAAAAAAGCTTGCTTCAAATTTACCCAGCATGCCCAAAATTCAATAAGCTCTAGATTTTTATACCAAGAAAAAACCTTGATAATTTCAAATCAATCTATTGAGCATTTTTTCTGGCAATGCATAAACAATAAAACGGTATAATTTCTTTAAATGGTTCATCTGGAAAACACAATATCTACTTTATGGTTTTCTCAAATCCATGACGTATTCTCGATCTCCTTTAAAAGTAGCCATGCCCATAGCCAGACACTTTGAGTGGACCCCCCTCCTCCCCTGGTCAAAAAATTGTTATTTTTTAATCACTTTTTAAATAATTTGGGTCAAAACTGCCAAATTCTAACCCCCACCTGAATTTGTTTTACACTGAACCCCCTTGGCAAAAGCTGGCTCTGGGCCTAGTAGCAAACCAAAGTACATCATTATATACAATAATCAATTATTCTTTTTATGGCAACTAAGCACTATTAATGCACAAATATAGGAATACAATACAATTTATTATTCACTTGTGTGACAACTATATATTAATAATCACGGATAATTTTAGAAACCAATAAATGATAAATATGTGTAAATGTCATATATTCTATTTCATCACTTAAATGTTCCAATTATGATTGCATTCAATGGGGATTGGGGCTTGGTTTGTCAGTTGCAGAACACTTCTAGGATAGGATAGGAAGTAATTTCATCACCATTTCAGTACAGGAAATCCTTTTTTTATTTGTATTTTTTGTTTAAACATAGCCCTTTAAATCTTCAAACATTGCCCTTTAAATCTTCAGACATAGCCCTTTAAATCTTCAAACATAGCCCTTTAAATCTTCAAACATTGCCCTTTAAATCTTCAAACATTGCCCTTTAAATCTTCAGACATTGCCCTTTAGATCTTCAGACATTGCCCTTTTAATCTTCAAACATAGCCCTTTAAATCAGTCGTGCATCAGGATAAACTACACAGAATGAAATGGGAATAATTGGGACTTCATGCAAGACTTCACTCATTATCACAATGTCATTTTACTTCCAGAAGGTTTTTTGCTACTCACCTGTATGACGTCTGCTTTCTTATTGTAAAATGTGAAAATCTCTCTGGAAGATTAGGATCCAAGAGATCAAGGTTAGATGGCGCTCCTGCAGACACATCATCTTCGCCATCTTTTATATCCTCACCGCTGTCACAAATTGCCGTTGTAACAGTAATATCCATAACTGCCTCTCTGTACGTATGTGTCAACGCTTCTACATCATCAGATTCTGAAACACATGAATGAAGATTTTTTAAATCTCACTCAGAAATTGGCAGTATCTTTATAGATGGAACATAACTAAAGATTACAATACTCCTATACCTTCCATTAGTGTCATATTCTCGTATATCCTAGAAGAACACCTCTGTTAGTCAAACACTTTTCAGAGTCCAAACACCAATTGGCTGAATGTTAAATGAACCTCTATAAGAGAAACACCTTCCAAGTGGAAGAGGTACCCAAGGTTTTCCACTAAGACATGTTTTACTACACATGTATATATATTTGCTGCTTACTAATCTTTAATTGAAATCTTTCATACTTTGCAAAATAACACTATTTTGTCTATGTACATTAATCAAAACAGTGAATTCTTACAAAAAAGTTTTTTCTTTTCACATTTGAATGTTCTAGTAGTTTTAATGCTCTGATGTTTTGAAAATGAAGGACTAAAAATTCTAAAAACATTTACTCAGAGCATATCTTTAAAGGGTATCTCTCTATAATCAATATAATCAGGTGAAATACTGGTACTTATGCATTTTAAGGCTTATTACAATACGGCTGACATTCTAAAACAGGTCAGCCAACAAGGTAAACTTTAAGGTAAACCAAATCAAGGGAATTTTCTGACAAATTTATCTAACCTTAATTGTCAAAAATTATAACAAAGCAGGTGCAAAATGTCACATCCTGCCATTTGTTACAGATGCCAAATGCTGACCTCTGGACACCAAATTGGAGACTACTCATGTGTGTCATAACATGTGGTGGTGACATAATATCAATATGTCACCACTTGTGGTAGTGACATAATAAGATAGGTCATAGTGACTTGGAGTAAAATGATTGCATGTCACCTTAAATCAAAAGAGATTAGTCACCCTTGAATTTTTTTCATGAATGAAATGCTTATGTAATAATAGAATTAGTCCAGTCTAATTCAAAATATATTTTGAAACCCTATATAGACTTTTCACATTAGATCATGGTTTTGGGATATATGGGGTTTGTTTTTCTTGACTGGTATGCACTTAGAGTTTGCGTTTTCTTGCTAAGTTCCATTACAACTTTTGGTTCTTTCACCTTGGCACTTGTGCTTAGATATATTTGAACCAATCTACAATATCTAATACATTCAGTTCATTGAAAAGTATAGTCTAGCTACAACCCTCTGTGACCCCCCCCCCCCTCTACTTGACTAAACACCTTCTCAAACTTGTGTGCGAAGGCTTGTAGCTAGACGATGGAAAGTACACTAATACGCCTCAGATCCGCTGATTATTGTATAACAAGCCTCATATTAGTAATTGAATGACATAATGGTATTGCACAAGATGAGACAATGTCTTATGATGTACAAATGACTCTCAATAATTGGCCAGAAATAGATATAATGAACTTCTGATTATTGTCTGGAGGTGCCCATGCTTAAAATGTTCCTCCGTGACACTTTAATTATTCCCCGTGCACTCCGGATGATGCACGCAAGATTTCCGGCAATTCCTATAGAATTCTGAATGACAAGATGCCTCATTAGCAGATTGCTTGCTCAGGTGAAGACCGTTATAGCAAACCAAAGAGGATCAAGCACTCAATAAGAATACCCATACTGTTAAACCAGTATATTCCTTCAGTCATATGAAATATCTTGATGGATTAAGATGAAGAATATCTGTCTCCTTCATAAAACATTCTGAATTTGAAAGCAAGTAAAGAAATTTTAAACCATCTTCTATGACAACTTAACCATCTGAGGCTCAGATGGCTTCATAGTGTAACCTGATTACAGAGTTTAATTTCAAACGAACCTGGGGGTGGTCCTGGAAATAAAGCGAGGATGACCCTCAAAATATTTAAGGCCCAAATTTTTCTGATTTTGGGCGGGGGGGGGGGTGGCCCCTGGGTCAGTAAACTCTACCGTTCAGCAGCTAAGTTGTCTGTAGCTCTCAAAGCCCATCAATTCAAACCAACTGTACTGAAATTTTCTCTACCACTCAGCAAGTAGAAAGAAACAAGTTTTAATAGTGTTATTGATCACCTTGGTTATGAAACCTAGTATTATCCCATAATAACTATACTGATAATTTTAAAGGAAACTGTCAAGACCTACACTCCCTGAAAAAAAAACTTAATTTATCACTGGCGTAGTGTCATATACCCATAGAACGCCATGGTGTACTCTCAAAATTTAGACAAAAGTTGATCTTAATATTGAAATGCCCTACACTTTAAAAATGTTTAAAAATAATTTACATTTCATTAGTCCATATTAGTCGGCATTTCAAAACGCCCCAGAAAGCTTCAAATTTAGTCCCAATTTCAAATAAATACCAATTCTGATTTCTGAACATTGCCAAAATGATAGCGTCCCCATATATGCTGAGGATGTTAATTCATTGAACTATGAAGTGAGCAAGGGAAAAATCTATTATTAACAAAATGGTTTATCCCTTGACAAAATATTGATATCTTTCCTTATTCAGTACAATCTGACAGTTAATATAAATATTTTCATAAGTAATCATGCTAAATGTAAGTCATATATACGAAGTAAAGTTATAAAATCAGCAACACATAAAAAGCATGCATGAAATTAAAAGTTGTTCTCCTAAATGAATCCCGATAACATGCCACGCCCTGAGAACACAAGGCTAAGTGGTAGTAATTTAATAAGTAGCAGGGCTCTCGCCAGGCTTTTAGACTGTGGCGCAGCACCACAGTCTATTTAGCTCCCACCAGAGCCTATTGGCAAATACTGACTGTTCCCACAGTCTAAACTTGACTGAATACACAATATAACCATGTAAACGGATAAAATATAACATAAATATGAGTTATCACGATTGAACGGTTATTATGAAGATGTTAGCACAACACCCTAAATATTTCCTGATGAGAACCCTGAGTAGATGAAGTTTACTTTTAAAGGTGCAATATCATACTATTGAAACAGGTACCTTAACTATTTAGTAAACTGAAAAATGTAAGGTGGAACACCTCTAAAAGTGTCTATTGGTAGAATACTTTTCAGAGTCCATGGACCAACTGACTTAATTTTAAATGAACCTATACAAGTAGATAACCTCTATTAGTAGAACACTTTTCAGAGTCACAAGACCAACTGACTTTTAATTTTAAAAATGTTCACCTCTATAAGTGGAACACCCCCTAAGCGGAACACTTTTAGAGGTACTAAATGTGTTCCACTTAGACAGGTTTTACTGTTTTAAAAAATATGAAATAATTCTTACATTATTAGGCAATAACTGAATACAAACCTCAACAGATACCATTCCAATATCAATGATGAATATACATGTACAATAAGTCCTTCCAAAGATTTAAATTCCAAGTACTAAATTCCTTTTCCTTGTCTCGATTCCAATTCCAAATTAATTATTTACTCTGTATCATGTCATAATAATCCATGTTTTTAGTATTAAGTTCCTGATCCAAGTTCCCCTGATAATTAGACACTGATATTTAAAGCGTGCAAGATTTTTGATCGCTGTACACTTCGGAGTAATCACAAGGGTAAATGATGATAGAGCGTAGTTCATTTCTCTAATACAATTATTAATATGAGGCCAATAAGTAATATCCCTATGTATATAGTACATGTATGTTCCTCCCTTATGGATCAATAAACCTGATGATGAATGAAAACATAAGCTAAACAAGACTCATTGTGATAAATATCGCACTTTGAAAAGCAAAATAGTTGTCATGTAATACACAGCATTTCCATCCTCCAATCACAGGGCTTCAAAATCCAGAATATGTTCTTTCTTTTTTTTCCCTGCGATAAGCAGTTAGCATTTCCCGATTAAGAACTCGCAATCTGATTGGCTGTCGCAACACTGCGACAGAAATCATGTATAAGTCATTGCGCATAATTAGATCACGCGATTCAGTCTAATCGGGCGCTTCCAAATTGGTAATAGCAGGGGGAAGAAGGAGGTACAGATTCTGGATACCTGCTTAGGAGGATGAGCATTTCAAGTTTCAAAATTTCAAGTTGAATGGATAAGTGTTGATGACAAGATCTATATGTGACGCCTGCCCAGAAGCAAACTACCCTGCGCCGTCTAGTTATGAGACAAAGCTCTCTTGAAGAAGCAAAGTCGAGTGAATGCAAAGGGTAGAAGCAAACATGTCAGTGACAGAAGGCGGATTGATCTAGCTAGCTAAATAATGGTAGATTGAAGTCATTGTTTACCTAACATGATTGGTTGAGAAAAATGTCAGTGCGACTGGTATGAATTGATTTTTGACCTGACTGTGAAGGCCACTGTCAGCTGGGCTGCTGAATTGTCTTAACTATTAAGAGGTTACTTGAGAACAAAACTCTGTGCTCAGGGTATTTGGCATTCTAACATTCCAAACCATTCCAGCAAGTTAACAAATTAAGGCAAAGATTAAAGAGAAAATTAGATTATTTCAATGCATTGGAAAACTTGGGAGGTGTAGAGAAAATTACACTTTTGTTCATTTAATAAGAAAGATGACTTTAAATCTTTCCATCTAGACACCCAATTAGAGATAATTCTTGCCTGTGTCTCCTAAAGGTCAATAAGCCATTTACAGATATTGTAATGAAAGAATAATTTTCACAATTACTGTATAAAATGCTATTTTAGCTAACATTTAATTTTGCTAATGGGCATTTTCGTTAATTTTCATATTTGTTGATTTTTACCATTCAAATCGTTGTGCTTTATATTTGATAAGTGAGGTTATTCAAATGTTAATAAATCTAATGATTTTAATAAAAACTGAAAAGTTTATCTTGTAAAGAATACTGGTACATGTTATAAAGTATATATCAGAGAATTGCTTTCTCAATTATGGAATTTCTCAATTAAGGAAAATGTTACCGTAGTAAAAACTGATGTTGTTTTAAAGACCTACCTTTAATGAACGCAATGAACAAAACGTTTATCAATCAGAAAAAATCATTTCTTGAAAATGAAGAACAAAAACAACTCAAAAATTATTTGTGTATTGAGTGTTACGACCTATAAATGATCTGAGATTGAATTGCCATTAATAAATTACAATTAGATTTGGTCTCTTAGTGTATATACAGAATTCCCTGTCAATGGTAATATAAACTAATGATTTGCCAATTACTTCTCATTGCCTACAATCTTATCCCTAAAGCTGATACTTGTTTATTTCAATTATTTTAATAATGCATACTATAGACTTTCCCTGACTAAAAATCCAAAGCTCTATTATTCTTCAAATGCATTATAACGTGACGATTTATCGAGGTATCATCGCTCAATCATGGCTTGAAAGTGACCAAACTTAGAATAATTGCTTTAAGCTTGCTTCGATGAATGTATCGTTTCGTTGCTTTGTAACCACGGTGACCGATGCTCCCAGTGGAGCATTTACTCCATTGCTTCTACAGACTGTAAGAATGGTTTTAATAAGGAACAATTATCTGACCATGCAGATGGACAAACAAGCATGACAAACAAGGATAATTGAGTCAAGACATCATTAGAGTGAGGATAAGGAATGTCCCGATGTGAACTTTTGGTGCCCCGATGTGTGATGTTTATCATGTTTATTTTCCATTTCTTCTTTAATTCCGTTTTAACAATAAGAATGCCATGGGATACGGCCTTGGTATGAACCCTTGGAACATCAGGCATCAAAGTTATCACAATATACATAATAATAATTATATAACTTCAATTGGTGGAATGATAATGTTCATAACAAAGTCTTGTTTCAAGTCCTTGCCAGTTATCACCCTCTATGTCTTTGTCAATTATCTGCAAAAGCCTAATAAGCCCATTTAAAGCAGATATACAGGGTGGGCCAAAAAACGCCACTTTTTTTCAAGACACTATAACTTTTTTATTTTCCAACCTACATACCCCAAATTTTACAGTTATATAGTGCCAAGGGTTCTTAGTAATAATATAATGTAACAAGTCCTTCAACTGGGATTATATTTGATCTAAAAGAGGAGTTCAATTGGTCCACCACCCTATTTGATGATAGATTTTAGTTTTGTTGACTTGCTGATATAGCAGTATCAATTAAATGTTAGCTATATTTTTTCAATGTGTCTTAATTGCCAGCTTTAGTTGAGCAATTTTTTAGATTGGGTGCCTTCATACCATCTACTGGAGACCTGAGCCCATACCCTATACTCACTTGGGTTTGAATAAGGGCTATTAGCTTGCGGTCATCAAGGCGTATCAGTTTAGGAACATTTTGCAAATTATGCTTATTTCTCATGGCACACCACATGTTTAACCTTTAGCGTGCTGCCGGCGGACGCGTCCGCCGAGACTAAAATGTCTCTCACAACTGCCGGCGGACCCGTACGCCCGATTTCAAACTTTTAATAACTTTACTTTTTCGCGCCATTCGTATTGTCCAATTAGATTGCCCGATTTATTCAGTGCCTAACATGACTTCCTGTTGACCTAGAAATGGCGATATTTCGAAAAATAATTCTCAATTCAACAATTTAAACAGTGTTTTAGTCGTTTTTAGTGAACGAATCGTACAAAATGGTGGACAAATACGATCACAACGAAAATGTGGAGGAAATGGATTACGATTTCGAGCTCATTAGGCTCTTGGAAGCCGATAATGGTCATCGAAAATAGAAACTAGAATATTTTCTGAATTGAAAAATTGAACATCCGATCGCTGCAAATTCAGATTTGGATTTTGACCAGACGAAGGGGCGGAGCGGCGGATTCCGGAGGAGTATTCATGATATATTTATGCCCAGTCGTGTTAATGTACGAAAAAATTCATGAGAACATTTTTTTTCATGAGCCAGGCCACTGTATCTTCTCTTTGTGAAAATTTTATCCAGATTCATTCAGTAGTTATTGAGATATTAATTATTTAGTCCAGGCATATCATTTTTTGCACTCTTTGAAAAATAAGCCAGTTGCGTGGGATATATTTGCTGAAATAAGGCAGCATGGTAAAGGTTAAGTGAGACGCTGGTGACTTATTTTATTCAAGTAAAAGTGTTCAATTCATGATCCATGGCTAGATAACAATTTCAAGTTTCATTTGGTACACAAATTATGATTTTGTATCAAAAATTTAAAAAGTTATAGCATTTTGATAAAAAAGTGGCGTTTTTTTTGGCCCACCCTGTATAACTTAACAGTGATAAAATTTTAATAGAATATAATTTAAACCTTAACATTTAAAAATAGATCTATGGTTTGGTTTCAACTCAATTTAAAATTGGAAAGAAACTTCCAGTTAGCCTGTTTACATTTTTATGTTAAAATACACAAGAGACGACTGTCAGGCTTCTCACGTTGACATCGCCCCTTTTCCCCAGTAGTGCAGGCATGTTGCTGTGTACTGGGGACATTCTACATTAAATTAATAAGTTGAGTGATGTGTGTAGAAATAAATCTATATTAAAAATAAAATGCTTTAGTTGCAATTTTTATGTTATACAGTAATACAGTAATGGTTTTCGGTATAACGTGCATCGGTATAACAGGTTTCGGTACAATGCGCATCGGTATATTGGTTTTCAGCATAAGGCCATCAGTATAATGAGGTGATCCCGATGTTTTAACACCTTCAACTTTTTAACAACTTATTTTTATATAAATATGAATGCAGCATACCCTTCTCAAGACAATAATCGATGCATTTTTGAATGGTCATAGCTCCTGGACGATAACCATACAGTTCACCAAGCCCATTCAAATCACGTGGTATTTCATCTTTGAAGCAACCCAAATAAACAGCTGAAGATTGAAATATACACTAATGGTATCAATCTTAAACTCATATTATCAAACTATATTATCATTAAATTAATTTTTCATTTTGTATAAAAAGTAAAAACAAAAATACTGTAACAAAATTGCTAAAAAAAGTTAATTAGGTCAAATGATGAATTGATCAAAACAGTTTGGCAGAATTTAATATCGAATTATGGAAATAATTTAGAAATAAACTTTTTTTGTTGATTGCAAATAAGGTTTTAATCTACTTGCTGTCAGAAAAGCTAATAGTAGCCATTAATAATACTGTACATGTATTATGTAAAAAAAACATCAAAATTTGAATTAAAAAGATCGATTAATTCTGCATTTTAGCAACCAAAATATATACCTCCGCAATCTGCTTTGATGAGTGGTATCATCACCAAGACGATGACCAAACATGTCAATGTAGTTGTCATCATATCTAGTTTTCTTACGTTATTCTTCTGTATGGTTCTCTAACCCCAGGTTGCACGGATAAATAACTCCTCATTTATATATTTGTTTTTGTTTCAGATTAAATTCATGACTAGAATGATTATTAGAATGAATTTCATTCATAAAATTTCATTAATAGCTATTACCCCAGTTTTTAGAATTCTTTTTAATAGGATGAACTAATAAAGGCAATAAAAATAGGACATAAAATGATGGTGAATAGATGTTTTGAAACATTTGCAGAGAAAAATTGTTCTATGGAAGTTTTAAATGGTATCATAAAAATATGAAATTGTTGAATTATTATATTTTGCACTCAATAATTGCATCGGGTCTTTGTTGGTAATATTGTTTTGTCATTATGTAGAACAACATATAAATGTTTTTTTTATGTTTTGTAGCATTCATAGAAAAAAAGCAATTGGTTCTCATAAAGTTTTTAATGATATCATCAAAATATGATACTTTGTACTCAATTATTACATTTGCAGTTGTATTACTATTTTTTCACAGTATTTAATTATGCTGGCAATTTTGATTTTGATCCAAATATAGTATACTGCATTCTGAAGAAAATGATGTATGTCATGTATGTTTTAGCTCCAAATATCTTACTATTTTACTAAGTAACAGACTAAGTAAACACTGTTACCTACGGATTGTTTTATTAGAAAAGTGTACCTTCCTAAATGTTTTTCCACAAGTCCAAACACACAGAAGTTCGAGAAATTAATGAATTCTCAAAATAAAATATAACCAGAAAGTAACAATGAACAGAGCAGTTTTATAATTAGCCGAAATGTGATTTCCTGAATGATGATAAGCAGGAGTACAGTATATACTGTATAGTTTCTCATAAAAGATTAGCCTTGTTGAATTATTTCCTGTTGTTCCCCGAGAGAATAAAAATGTAACGTCTCTTGAATTCATTAACAAATATGACCCTGTGACGCAATATTTGGAAGTTAAGGTTGCTAGTAATGAAATCTTTATACATACCAAAATAATTGAAAGAAAACAGTTTTCCTCTGCGGAATCCTGAGATCTGATATGAAATTGATCTAAACAAAATTTACCAATGTTGACAAAACATTAGCAGTCGAATTCCAGATTGTTTGTTAACTATTTAGAGTAAGCTTGTGCATGCATTGGCGAATGCAACTTTCAGCTGTCAGCTACTGGATTGACATACTACTATTTTATGGGCAACTCATTTAAATATGAATAGAACCTGGCACTATTTCATTCATTGCAATGCAGATTATTGCATCTGTAGTGTTGACTGCAATTGGCTAATTTCACTCGTCCCAACCTGGTTTCCAGGATGGTCTGTCTCCATCTGACCAACTTGGGACAAAATGAATGAACACCCAGAAAAAAATTAAAAGATTTTTTATTTTCTTTCTGGACATTTATTTATAGACTAGATATGCTACATGAAAGTCTATATACACAGGCTAGTATCGAAAGATTTGTCCGCTGTGACGGAGCATGCTATTTTTCATAAAACATTAAGAATGCTTCACGATTTATTTTTTAACTCATATGTTTCGTTATATCAAAGATAATTACTTACTCCATGCAATGGATATATCATTTGCGTGTAACCTTCACTTCTGTTTGAAGTCCAATAACGCTAGGAGTAAAATCTGTTGAAAACGGCGCCAGAGTATCAAACTCTAAAATGTACCATTTCTTTTTTAACTTTTTAATGGCATGATATAGTGACACAATAATATTAATATATGTTTTCAGCATAACTCTGAATGTATTAATGAGATATTAATGCATTGGGTCTTTTTAATCTTTTTTATAAAAAATAATATAAATATTTGTTGTCCGCTGTGACGTAGCATTTTCACAGTTCACATTTGCAACTGCTCCGTCACAGTGGACAAAAAAATTAAACATTATTTTTTATAAAAGAATTAAAAAGACCAAATACATCAACATCTCATTTATACCTTCATAGTTATGCTGAAACCATGTGTAAATATTATCGTGTCACTATATCGTGCCATTAGAAAGTTAAACAAGAAATGGTACATTTTGAAGTATGATACTCCGGCACCATTTTCAATAGCTTTTCTTCCCAGCGTAAGTGGACTTCAAACAGAAGTGAAAGTTACCCGCAAATGATATATCCATTGCATGGAGTAAGTAATTTTGTATGTTATAACGAAACATATGAGTTAAAAAATAAATCGTGAAGTATTCTTAGTGTTTTTATGAAAAATAGCATGCTCCGTCACAGCGGACAAATATTTCGATACCAGCCTGTGATATAACAGAATCAAAATAAACATTCACTTGAAGTGCCATCTCAATAAAACATAGTCACTACCTGCCATTTATTACAGAAGCCAAACACCAACTACCAAACAACACCCACAAAAATGGTTGAAGTACATATAACAATATGCCACCACTTGTGGTTGGGAAATAATCAAATATGTTTTTATATAATAAAACGTGAATAGAAAATATTTAAGTCGATGCACTTGTATGGGCAATTGGTTATATGTATAGGTTGGTGTTTAGATTTTATATGCAAGCTTTAACTCCCTATTATCTTGGCCATGAGGTTTCCATGAGGTTATGTACCGGCCTGTACCTTACCTGCCTCACCTTAAATTGTTCCATTCATTGCCCAAACCTCCACTGTAATTTGTTTACTTCCTGATCAGCATTATTTGTTAACTGCCTTAATCCACTGTTTTATGTTTATTTCACTGCCTCAGTCACTGTAATTCTTTACAGCTTCTAATGTATCGTGTTTTTGTTTTCTTTATTTGTTTAATTACTGTTACTTGTTTACAAGTTCAATAATTGTATTTGTTTACTTCTCCAGGTACTGTAACTTTTTTACTGGTTCAATCACGGTCTTTGTACTATAAGTTACTGAATGATTTGCACTTCAAATCATTCAATAACGTTTTTAACGTGTGATCCTCTGTATTGCTACTGAGATTGTCCCCTCCGTACGGAGCTGATCAACGGGGACAATCTCGGTAGCAATACAGATTGGTACAGCACAAGAACTGACCAATCAGAGGGCTTAATTTTACAGATCATACAATAATATACTGTACTGTATTGTACTGTACTGTACTACACTGTACTGTGCTGTACTGTACTGTACTGTACTGTACTGTACTGTAAGTACTGTATTGTACTGTACTGAATTGTAAGTACTGTAAGTTGTTTCCTGCAACTATCATATATCTGAAAATTCTAATGCTATTTCAAAATAATAATTCTTATGATATTTTCACTAATTCCAAATAAATTCTTATGATATTTAATATGCTTTCCACATGAGTTTTTAGGATATTTCCATTAATTTTACTTGATATTTCTCCAAATGGCAGTTATAAGGTATTTCCATATAATTTAGAATGTTGGCACTAATTCTCTGTTTACAGATACCACAACCCTTTGAAACACTAATATTTAACTCCCAAACCCATTCTCTTTACATTACTGATGACCTAAGAGTATATCCCCTTTTCTAACATACTATCCGGCCGGATGCAAGCTATGCATTTAGTCTCAGACATACCACAGCAAAAATATTAATACAGAATAATTCAAAACTTACTTTCATGCTTAGTTCACCAAAAATCCACTCATGTCAACAACGAGGAGCAAGTGTAGATCAAAGTGCAATTCCACTGTTATATAATCATAATATCCTGCACACCATACCATATCCTTATGCTTCAATTGTGGTTTTAATAAATCAATCAAACTATATTCTTCGACCGTATTACACCCACCTACACTTAGTGTACCAGCTGATATAAATCAATACACGGAAAAATAAAAATTGTTAGTCGATAGCTGCTGTCTAGCAATTCATTGTAAAGGTAACATAAAAAATTCCATTTCACTTATAACAAGGCCAATCCAAATGCTATATCCTCGTCCTTGGTTTTGATCAGGGGAGGGGGGATTTAAGCAAGTATTAGGATCCTAAGATGAGATTTTTTGTAAGATGAGTTTTTGTTCACAATTAACCAAGGCCAAGGCATAATTCAATTAGCCATTATTTTCTATAAATATTAAAATATACATTCCCCAACCTCATGAGCTTTGACAAAGCCATTAGCATGCGAAATATCACCACCTACCATTTGTTAAATACAATGAACACAAAACTCAAACCACCAACCACTGCCACAAAAAAACGTGGATACTTTAACAATCGTCACCACTTGTGGTGATTTTGCCAATCCACAACCTATAACTTTAATTTTGCCAGAGCTCTACTTTTCACATAATGATAACAGGAGCTCTATAATAAACTGTGCATTTGGCAAAGGATAGGTATCGATATGGTGAACTGAATTCAACAATGTTTTTCTCTTAAACCAATTATTGAAAGCATTCTATAAAGAAACATGATCCTTTATGTAATGTTGACTGATTGACAACAATTGAATACGAAAATGATTTACATATATATGACTGTTTTTGTTAAGGTTTTTGTTTTTTAGTGTAATTGTTTTTTGTTCCTTTCTACCAATTCTTCAGAATGAAATAAAATGTCTCTCCGAACCTTGTTGGAACAAAATAGCATATACAATATTTTCTTAGACCTCTCAATATTACAGTTATCGTACAAAGGAAATTTTGGTTGATTTTACAAAATGTATGCAAAAACTTAAAACAAGACCCCCCAAAATAGATCAAAATTAATATTAACATTTTATTTAATTAAAAAGATACTTTTCTAAAATTAACCAAACTTTCCTTGTTACAATTACAATATTGAGAGACCTAAACACATTGTGTTTATGTCATTTTGTTACAATGAGGTTCGGATAGATGTTTCATTTAATTCCGAACAAATAAAATGATAAAAAGAAGTGTCTTATGTGTTTTCTAAAACAATATAGAGAAAAGGATATATATATGTTTCAAATTATAATGTTACCATCCAAAAAATGACCATTAAATTGACGATGTGTAAAATTTTCAG